TTTACTTCGTGAGGTACTGCAAGCAGCACGCGGATGGAGTCTGGGGAATCGTGGACGTTTCCGTGGATGCGCTCGCTCGCGAGGCAGCGCCCTCTTCCAATCGGTGCCGGAGACGCCCCTCGGGATATCTCATCCAGGACATGCCCAATGGCTACTCAAAGGTACGCACAAAATCACTTTTTTACTCGTTCTTCCGCTGCTTTCTCGCCGTCTCCATGGGAGTCCGAGGCTCTGGTGTGTGATGTGACAATCCATTGACTTGTGCGTTGGATTCTTGTGTGCTGCGAAAACTTTTAGGTGACGGTGTTGGAGCATGTGGAATACGATGATCGATCCGTCAACAGGATTTACAAGCCTTATGTCAACAGTGGTCTCGCTTTTGGAGCACAGAGATGGCTGCTCACGCTGCAGCGCCAGTGCGAGAGGCTCGCCAGTCTATTGGCCACCAGCATCTCTGCCAGAGATCTTGGAGGTAGTACTTTCTTTCCTCTTCCATCTTTTCTTTCGAAGAACTTAGAGAGAGGAGGGAACAAAAAAATGCTTTTTTTCTCAGCTGGTTCTTCCCCCTCCTCTTTGTTTGTTCACGGGCATTGTTTTTCTTCCTCGGCTTTGTTTAATGGTTTGTTTTGCTTTGGTGCCAGTGATACCCAATGCGAGTGGCCGCCGGAGCATGCTCAAGTTGGCGCAGCGCATGACGAATAACTTCTGCGCGGGCGTGAGTGCGTCCACTGTGCACACTTGGACGACGCTGTCCGGTAGCGGCGAGGACGATGTCCGTGTCATGACTCGCAAGAGCGTCGACAATCCCGGCGAACCGCACGGGATTGTTCTCAGCGCCGCCACCTCTCTATGGCTTCCAGTGCCTCCGAAGCGCGTGTTTGAGTTCTTGCGAGACGAGAGGCTACGCAACGAGGTAACAGAGCTTCGTTTGATCCATCAAAATCGAGTTTTTGTATCGGTTTTCTTGGCTTTTTGCAGTGGGACATTCTCTCCAACGGTGGAATGGTGCAAGAGATGGCTCACATCGCCAAAGGACAGGATCCAGGCAACAGTGTCTCTCTTCTCCGTGTCAACGTAAGCTTTCTTGGAGCTTTCGATCTTCGATCTCTAGAACTGAAGCTTCTTCCTGTCTCTCTTTCCAGACTCTCAACTCGACGCACAGCAATATGCTCATCCTCCAGGAGAGCTGCACCGACGACTCGGGCTCGCTCGTAGTTTACGCTCCGGTGGACATCCCAGCCATGAACTTGGTAATGCAGGGTGGCGACCCGGCATACGTTGCTTTGCTCCCCTCCGGCTTTGCGATCCTCCCCGACGGACAGGACCACTGTGGAAGTCTCCAGCACGATAGTCTAGAGGTGGACAGGCCCAGGGTTCCAGGCTCGCTCTTGACAGTGGCATTCCAGATTCTCGTCAGCAACGTTCCTTCCGCAAAGCTCTCGCTCGAGTCCGTGACAACCGTGAACAATCTCATCTCGTGCACTGTCCAGAAGATCAAGGCTGCGCTCCAGTGTGACAATCAGTGATGGAAAGCTGGGAAGTGATCAGGAAAGTTGGGTGGGATGGATGGATGATGGATGGTTTTTTGGGGGACAGGATCACAGGACAGGTGGTGGAACTTCTCGTTCTTTTCGTAGGGGATGACTTCTCAGTTCTTTCTCTCTTTCGGTACGATCTTCCTCCGCCAGCTTTCCAGGGGCTCCAAGGTCTGGTTTTTAAAGATGGATCGAGACAGGGGCGGTATGTTGCATGCAAGTTGGGGCTTGAGCAAGCCGAGGAGTGGTCAAACAAGGTTCTCGGGGAGCTTTTTTCCTTGATCTCTCTCCTTTTTGGCAAGCTCGGTTTTGGTTATACACTGGACAGAAGTTTGGGACTCGCTTGAGGGAAAATCACCACTCTTTTGACAACAGTGGCTAGTGAAGAAGGCAATGATTCTTTTGTTCTGTCTCGACTACAAACACCAACACACAAGGCAGTGAGCTCGCATTGAGCAGGGTGGTGATTTTTTCCCTCAGGAAGGATTTGCTCTTGGGACTTCCGTGCCAACATAGCAGGGAAAGCAAAGAAAACCGGAGAAGAATAAGCACAGGGAAGGCTGGGAACTTGTGGAGGAGGAAAAGCAAACTTTTAGAGGCTCTCTTTCTAACATATAAGAAAAAGGTGAGATATGGAGTATGGGAGGGAGTCAAGAACGCACCATCAAAAGCTCCCTTGCAGCGTGGTAAAGTCTGGATTCGTAGATGCACTCCAGTGTGAGTGTAGATCACTGGCGGTGGAACAACACTGGTGATTTCGCTCACACTGGCGCAAACTCTGTGCACGACGAGTCTCGCTTCACCACGGTGCAAGGCAAATGGTTCGGGCATTGACTTCACTTCCACTCCAGATTTCCATGTATCAGTTGTTTGCTTTCGATTGATCTAAAATCTAAGAAAAATTGTGCTCTTGACTTCGTGTCCAAAGTTCTCGTTCGAATGGGAGAAAGCGAGTGAGACTAGTTCTTGACGATCTTTTCTTCGTTGGATGGATTCGATTCAATGCGCGCAGTGAATGCCGAATGCGACCCAGTGATCCTTTTTTCACACGTAAGCTCTGAAAGGAGAAAACTTTGTTGGTCCCATCTCTATGGATCGATCGAGGGGAGCAAGTCTTTATGGAGTTTTTCTTCGCGGGAGAGAGGATCACCCATTTAAGTTGTAGCGTCCAAAAGCTCGGGACAAGGCAAGGCGTGTCGTGGTATATGTGATTATGCTCGATTTCTCACAGCCACCGAGGCTCTTTCTTGGTCTCTTTCACGACCCAGACAGTGTAGAGAAGGCTGGAATTTATAGAGCTCATATCATACACGGTGAAAGATATCTTCACATTAATGTTTTAACGAGATCTATAACATCGCTCGATCAATGCTCTTGTTCACATACAAAAGATATGATGAGTGTGATGAATGCTGCTACGCAATGTGGGATCACGCAAACATATCTGTGGATCTATGGAGATCGTTGATGCTGAAATCTTTCAGCATAGACAAAGGTGGCGACAACGCATGAAAGAGAAAACTATTGCTGTAGTGTCGCAATAATCTTACGTGTTGATGAGTTGGGCAACCAACACCCAGACGATGACATATGAATTATAGTCATTACTTTAAATTAAGCACACAAAAATTCAGTTGCTATTATAATATTAAAAATATTATTTGGATTTTTTTCTTGGATATTGAAGTTCAATGATAAGTCACCCGGATCTTCCATGAAAACACAAAACAGAACGGAAGAACTGCACACGCATTCATTTCCAAAGCCCCGGGGTAGCTCCTGGAGATTTTACTGCGCGCATCTATACACATCAATTGGTCCGCTGTGAAAGGAAAAGCTCACGCAATTCCGCTGATGCGCTCGTCCCGCACACCCACGGATCAAGGATTTGTGTTGTTGAATTGAAAAGCCGGCCCACCAGATGCCCCACAGCGGCAAATTGACACCAGCATTTGCCAGTATCCTCCTTTTCTGTTGTGTACCAGCGATGGTTTCCTCACACACACATATACTCTCTCTTTCTCTCTCCTTTGTGTGTGTGTGTGCTGGAAGTAGCTTGGCTATGGCGGGTCCTTCTTGGCTTCCTGGCTGTGATTTTGATGCCAAGCCAGCATGAAAGGGAAAAGGTGGCGCATTCAATGCGAAGGCTACTGCGAGCATTCAATGCGACGACGCGCATTGCGCAGTAGTCTTTGGCAGCAGCAGCACACATCAGTGTGCCACCAATTTCTTTCGCTTTTCTTTTGCGAGCTAAGAGCTTGCAGGAGATGGAGATGGAGATGGAGTATAGGAGCGAGAAGCCAAAAGAAAAAGAATGGAAATACGGGAGAGAGGGCTCAGCAGCTCTCATCAATGAGACGATGGTTTTTGGTTGCTTGTGTCTGCTGCTTACTGGGTTTTGAAAGTGACGACACAAGATCACGAGATCACACTGAGAGTTTAGAGTTTTTTTGGCGATCGCATCATCGCGTCGTAGCGCTGTCCCAGCTCCCAAAGTTAATGCTGCTGCTGCTGGCTGCTCCTGCTGCCCACGAAAAGAAAGAAAAGAATTCCTGGAGCGACAGTGACGACTTTGATGATCTATGCGGCAGTGGTGGTTTTCAATCACAGGCAAAAGCAGTGCTTCATGGTCCTAATAAATAATGGCGATCAGGTGTGGTACCATCCCAGCCTGGGGGCTTTCAAGAGAGATACTGGCGTCTGCCGTCCGAGATTCCAGGGATTTGCCAAGCTTGAGGCCGGCGCAGCGTGACATACGGAGCTCCGGCTATGGCGGCTGCCGGGTTCTCGCGAATCTGATGGTGGAGACGCTCATGCCCAGAATCGGCATCTTGATGCTGGGGAGGCCACCTTTTGGGTGATGCCGGATAGAACTCTTGTCACTTGGACGCATTGTGAAGAGCTTACACGGCGTGCGGGTGTTTGGAGACGGCCCACGAAACGTTTCTAGAAATGCCCGAGCACAGCCAAGTGTCATGGACGATTTTTCTTCAAGTATATGCCCAAGCGGGGCATCTGGAAACAAAACTAAATTTTTTGTTTGACAAAGATTTAGTAAAAGGACTTGATCTGCTTTAACGCATTCGTTCTGCATACAGCCAGCAAGGATATATATCAAAAGCCAAAAATCTCTTTGAAGAAATGCCAATATGCGAGTTTGATAACTGCATACATGCTCAATTTTTTCTTTTTCATTATTTTCGAATTTCAGGTATTTATTCTCATTATCCTCTGTCATTGTTATCTATTATAATTCTCAAAAGTTACTCTATTTGTTTGGATTTGATTTTATTTTAAGATTTGGTATTTTTTTCTTACCATATTCTAATATTAAAACTTATTTATTAAAATTAAAAGACAAATCGAGGAATATTTTATTTTTACTAATTAATTAGCTTTAGTGGTTTTCTTTACTTGCTTAGGGATCCTAAAAAACTGATAGATATGACTTACAAATAATTAAATATGGCGATCACCATCCCAGGCTGGGAGCTTTCAAGAGAGCTGTTGGCTTCTGCCATCCGAGATTCCAGGGATATGTGGAGCTTGAGGCGGGCACAGCATGACATACGGAGCTCCGGCTATGGTGGCTGCCGGTTTCTCGCGAATCTGCTGGTGGAGATGTTTGGGAAGCTCGGGAGTGTGAGGAGTGCCGAGGCCGCCTTCGCCACCATCGAGGAACCAAACGTTTACTCGTGGACGATTCTTCTCTGCGCTTATGCCCATAATGGGTATCTTGATTCAGCGGAGGCGACGTTTTGTGCGATGCCGGATAGAACTCTTGTCACTTGGAACGCTCTGTTAAGAGCTTACACGGAATGCGGGTGTTTGGAGGCGGCCCACGAAACGTTTCTCGAAATGCCCGAGCACAACCAAGTGTCATGGACGATTTTGCTTCAAGCATATGCCCAAGCGGGGCATCTGGAGAATGCTAAGGTTTTGTTTGACAGAGTTCCAGTGAAAGACTTGATCTGTTTTAACGCGTTGATTTCAGCATACGGCCAGCAAGGGTATCTTTCTGAAGCCAAAAATCTCTTTGATGAAATGCCCATTGCGAGTTTGATCACCTGGAACAGCGTTCTTGTAGCATATGCACAAAACGGGCATATACGCGAAGCCAGGGAGCTCTTTGACGCGATGCCCGAGCAAAGCCTGGTTTCCTGCACCACCATTCTGCAGGCGTATGCTCAAAACGGGCATCTCAAAGAAGCCGCAAAGATGCATTCCTGGATGCTAGAACAGGACCACGTTTCGTGGAGCTGCATGGTATCAGCGCACGCTCACTTTGGACGCGGCAGGGACGCGATCGAGATGTTTCACGTCATGGTTTTGGAAGGATTTGAGGCATCGAAAGTTACACTTCTCAGTCTTCTCATCGCTTGCAGCCACACTGGGAAGCTCGAGAGGTGCCGCCGAGAGTTTGTGGGGATGGCTGGAGATTATTTGGTGATTCCTCGCTGCGAGCACTACTGCTGCATGGTGGACATCCTCGGTCGCGCTGGGCACCATGAGGAAGCCAAAGATCTCCTCTGGTCGATGCCTTTCGAGCCATCTCCAATTGCTTGGTCGGCCATGCTTGGGTCTCTGGTGATTCACGGCGATCGAGATCGAGGTGGTGAAGAGCTTGTCAAAGTGCGCATGCGATTTCTGGAGCAGCAAAATTCCATCTTGTGAATTTGGCAAAGCTTAATCGACAACAAGTTTGAGAAGATGCGGCTCTTCGTCTTGCTTGTGGGTTTTGACGAGGTATATGTTTGTAACAAGCGAATCGAGAGCTATGGCAAAACTGGGAATTTGGAACACGCGCGAGCAGTGTTTGACAGCATTGTTGCAAAGGATGCCTTCTCGTGGTCGTGCATTTTACGAGCATATTGTCAAAACGGGCATTTTGTTCAGGCAAAAGAGCTCTTTGATTCCATGCCACAGCGAAACGTTGTTTGCCAGAACATTATTCTATCAGCGTTTGGAAGACATGGTCACTTTGGTGTTATGAAGTCATTTTTTGATAGCTTGCCTGAGGTTGATCTCGTTTCTTGGAACACTCTTCTCTCGGCTTATGCCACAAGAGGGTATTCTTACGATGCAAAAACCATCTTTGATGAGATGCCTTACAGGGATCTCATTTCCTGGAACACACTCATTGGTGCATATGCCAAACAATCAAACTCAGCAGAGGCTAAGATCTTATTTGATAAAAGCCCAGCGAGAAGTTTGGCCTCATGGTCTGCTTTGGTTTGCGCTTATGCCCGTAATGGGCAACTAGATAAAGCCCAGTCCCTCTTTGATGCAATGCCGGAGAGGAACTTGGTAAGCTGGAATGCTTTGTTGTCTGGCTTTGGAAACTGTGGTGAGATCAAAACAGCTAAAGCCATTTACAATAGGATGCCGGAACATGATCTAATTACTTGGAATGCTTTGATTGCGTCACTCGTAGCAAACTCCCAATTTGACGAAGCCAAGGAGTCGTTTTCTCGTATGCCCGAGCGCGATTTCGCGACCTGGAACATTATGATTAATGTCTATTGCCAAGAACAAAACTTTAAGGAAGCAAAGTTTGTGTTTGACATGATGCCGGAGGCCGAGCTTACATCTTGGAACAGCTTGCTTTTAGCATATACCCGTTCTAGGCAAATGGATCTCGCAGAATATGTGTTTACTTCTATGCCTTTTCTCGACACCATTTCATGGACGACGATGGTGGACGGCTACATTCGTGTTGAAAAGTTGGACAAGGCCAAGCAAGTTTTGGATAGGATGCCACAACTTGATGTGGTTGCTTGGACTGCTTGGTTCTCTGCGTATGCCATGGTTGGAGATCTGGAGATAGTGAAGCAAAGCTTTGATGAGCTACATTTGCAAAAAGATATAGTGGTGTGGATTGCCTTGTTATCTGCTTACGTACGGCGTGGCTGTCTCGATGAAGCTAAGAATACTTTCACCCAAATGCCTGAAAGGAGTTCAATCTGCTGGGCGATGATGATCACTGCGTGTGCCCAAAACAGGCATTTGGAAGATGCACTCTCGCTGTTCTTAGAAGTTCCGGAGAATAGCTTGTGTGTTTGGAATGCAATGCTTGTGGCATATGCTCAGATGAGTTCGATATTTCGTTTGGAGCAGTTCTTTCAGGATATGCCCGAGCGAAGTGTAGTTTCATGGGGCGTGATGATAGCCAAGTTTTCTCTCGCCGGTGACATACTCGAGGCATTCCAAGTTTTTGACCATATGAAGATGGTGGATTTGCCCGACGAGGCTTGTTTCGTGTCGCTGCTAATCGCGTGTAGCCACGAAGGTGAAGTCTATCGAGGGAGAAGTTTGTTCGCGTCTATGGTGGAAGATTATGGAATCACACCCACGAGACAGCACTACTGCTGCATGGTTGATTTGCTAGCCCGCGCCAAGCGTTTGGAGCACGCGAAAGAGCTCCTTAGTACCATGCCATTTGAAGATAAATCATTCGGCTGGACATCAGTTATAAGTGCTCCATTGTAAAGGGTTTAAGGGTGCAACTTATTAGGTCATGGCAAAGCTTGGAACGACGAGATGTGGTGCAAGGTACGCTCCTTACGAAACCAGTGATAGCAAAAGCAAGAACTACCAGGTGGCCGAGAGTGTGAGCAGGCTGAGGCACGCTCTCGTTTATGACAATGGAAAAGTGTTGCATGTATGGGATATGGAAAGAGGATTTTTCAACTACAAGCTACCATATCCATCCCAGATCAAGGGTCATCTTTGCGGAGTCGCGGGTGGAATTCTCTTCTTCAAGGAGAACAGCAACACTCAAACCATCTTTGCTTGGAACCCAGTGACTGGATTCGTAAGAGAGATTAATCTTCCATCGGTGGAGTCAGAGTTTCTAGTCATTGTCACGCCCAAGTCACACAGGCTCTGCAAGCTCAACCCGAGCCTCAAGCTCGAGGCAGTGGGTGCCCCCCCCGTGGAGGACTGGACGCGGATTTGCTATTTGGGCGAGAGGTTCAATGGAGACTCGGGCATCAAGATCGAGTGCTCGCGACATTTGTCGTATGCTAATGTCCTGGGCACGAGCTCGCTGCAACAGCTGGATGTTTTGGAAGCGACAAGAAATCCAGTTAGAACAATCAGCTCTCCCAGGCCGATCAAGGGGCGAAGCTTTCATCTTCCGCGAAGTCCTGGGAGCGTCAAGTATCGCTTCTTTCAGCTGGAGCAGGACGTGTTTGTGTGCGTTTCGATGCAGAGGCGCTTGCATTTCCAAGGTTGCGTGAGGATCTGGCTGTACAAGCCTGGTGGTGATGGTGGTGCAAAGAGTCTTAAAGGATCGTGCCATGCATGCCGTGTTGCAAAGACGGTCCACGGAAGTCACCTCGCTATGGAAGAACTTTGTGTATGCAGCAACAACGAGGACTGGGAAGACGTGTCAAAGTTGCCAGACAAGTACGTGCATGGGTTATTGAAAGAGTCAATCTCGCAGGACGATGGTGCCGGCTGGTTTGCGTTTGGGATGGCCAACATTGTCTTGGTGGCATTTGTTTCCAAGAGTGGCGACTTGAGCTCTTGCAAGGAGGTGTTTCGCTTCGAGCTGGCGTTGAGAGAGTGGACCCGTGTGGCAAATCCATTCAGAAGCTCTCGGGGTGTTAACTGGAACAACATGAGCTGCTGGTGTCCAAGTTTTTCCAATCTGGACATGGATTGGGGGTGGTGTTCTTGATGGATCAAGTAGTTCATAGAAGATCCTGGAGTGATAGTGTTCTCTTTGACAGAAATCTTATATCATATTAATATACAACTTACCCTGTGGTTCATCTTACAACCACAAAGTCAAGCTCTAAACGATAGACACACCCTCTACTTGGGCTTCCCTAAAACGTCTGCCAATTCAAACTTCTCAAATCCAAAACGTCCTCTCCAAGCAGTATAGCAACATGAAGTTGCAGAATTTGGTCCACGACTACTTTGGACGCAAGGGCTTGGTTTTCTTGAGTTCGACTAGCACTTGAGATTCTGTAATGATGTCGTCCACAGTAAAGATGAAACTCGAAAGAATACCGATGCCACCACCAATTTCCACCAAGCCGAAGTACTGACTACTGGCATAGACGGGTAGGATCGTTCAGGATGCTCCAAATTGATCAGCTTCTTCCAATCTTGTGGATCCAACACACAATAACACTCACCCTCAATATCAACACTAAGTTTCTGGTAAAGAGCTCACCCCAGCGTTCTACTCTTGAATCAAAGTGAAATCTCCCTGGAAAGATTCTGAAAATGCATCTTTTATAAAAGCATAAATACTGTGAATTTTTTTCTGGAGTTGTTTGTTTGGAGATGGTCTAGGCTAGAATATGCATGGACGAGAACGTTGATCTTCTAAAAAAGGGAGAGTGTCTTACAAATATAATTGTGAATATCAAAAGGTATTTATTGGTTTTCTTTAGATAAGAAATTGATATTTCTAGTTACCTTGATTGAGTATATAGTAGGAACAATAGCATTATTTACCACCCTAGAACACTAAATGTATCATAGGAATAGTGGTATTATTTGCCACCCTAGAACACTAGGTAGATCATGTATGGTTAACAAACTTGAGACATTGTTTGACTCTCTATTGGGAGTGTTTATTCTAATTGTTCCTGAAATATTTAACTCCATATGGTGAAATATTTATATCCTTAAAATAATGTTAGATCTATCCATCAAAGAGTAATGAGAACAATAGGGAGGAGGGAGTAGAGAGAGAAATATGAGATAAACAAAACCTACCATACTTTGTTACCCCTGTTGTCTTATACATACCCATAGTAATGATCCTGAGTTGGAAACTTCTTCCAGTGCCTTGAAGCTTTGAGCCAACAACTCTCATTGAAGGGTTAGTCTACAATGGAATAGAAGATCTTCTAGGGGATGTTGTAAAAGATGTACTAGCACGTTTGGCAATGCAAGATGTGCTTTGCTATGAAGCCGTGTGCAAGAGATGAATGTGTGTATTGCACAACATAAGTTGCATGCTTTGGGTGTTTAGGCCTTGTAGGGCCTGTTTCAGTCTTACCAATTGCATTGCACTTATACTCAACACATAATCCCACAACTTTAAGCTTTTATTTCAATAGAAGGTCATTCCAAGCATGAATTGCTTGGTCTAATGGATTTATAATGGTTGGAGGGTGTTTGCTTTTTTAGTTAGGAATCCAAAGATGAAGATATGGATTACCATTCTAGCAAAGCTTGTAGCAATATCATTAACTTAAATGAGTTATAGGACTTATCTTTTTGTTTATGCAAAATGCATTAATTATCAAACACCATTTGGATGTCACTAACAAGGAAATAACTAATAAAATAGCCACCTTTGTTGCTTTAGAAGTTACTAAGCTTACGAAAGATGATATGCCCTTATTTTCAGGTGATATAGAGAGAAAAGTCAAAGGTCTTGAGCATACAAATCAAATCTACCAATAAATTTAGATAGACTAATGTAAATAAGTAGTTAGAGTTATTTATATATATTATACCCTTTGTAATGAAATAGAAACATTGAAAGAGAAAGCAAGTAAATTTTCCATTTTACTTTAATCATTTAACCACATCTTTTACCACTTAGAGGGTCTTTTTCATAACTTCCATAAGTCCCATTCTTAACTTGGGGACTTATTAGCCATAAGAATGGCTTTTATACCATTCCACCTTTTGGTTCAAGT